TAGAATGTCTAAAATTCTGTATTTGTTTGAATGTTCTGTCATGATTAGGTTAAGTTTGAATAGATTTGGCACTAATACCATGGGAGGTGGTATGTTCTTATTGTATCACATCAATAAAAATGAAGACTTAAGTCAAAAATGAGGACATTTGTAAAGTTATTATAATATACAGGACTGTGTATTAGGTACTAAATTACAGAAAGGAAAAGTTATGTTTAGTCTAGCAAGAATGTTGAAGGCCGTACTGACCTGACTTTAACAGAATGTAAAAGTTATTACCAAGTCACAAATTGCATGTTGTGATAAGGTTGAGTTTTTTAGAAAACATTGGCCATTTCTCTTCTGTGAAATGACTACTACAGGCCTTTGCTCATTTTTTTTTTTTTTATACTATAGAACTTTATAAAAATATTTTAGATGTTTATCCTGTACCAAGTTTAGGTGATCAAAATATCTTATCCCAGTTTACAGTTTATCCTTGTATTTTCTAGGGATCTTTTAACGAATAAAAGATCTCTCTTTAAATGTCAGATTTATTTTCTTTATGGCTTGTACTTTTTTTTTTATTTTGTTTAAGAAATCTTTCTCTATCCCAAGGTCATAAATTTAGTCTCCTAAACCCATATTATCTTCCTAAAAGTTTATAGTTTTGCCTTTCACAATTTTTTTTTTTTTGGTTGTAAGATTCCTTGGAATTGATCTCTATATGTAAGGTGAAGGAGAGAGACAACTTCTGTGTTGTGTGTGTGTGTACACCAGTTGTCCCAGAATTCAAATAGGCCATCTTTTTCCCACTTATCTGCAGTCATACATTTGATTATCATATGTGTAAGGGACTGTTGGGAGTTCTTTTTTCAATTCTCTTGGTCAGTTTATTATTCCCTGTACTATTTCCATACTCTTAACATAGTTTTATAGCAATTTTTGGTTTATGATAACACAAATACCAATTTGAGACCTTATTAATCATCTCCATTACATAGTTCTTTTCCTATTTCTTTTATTTTTCGGTCTTTATTATTTCCTTGCTTTTACATTCTTTGGGTTTATTCTGCCATTGTTTTCTCACATTTTAAGATGGATAATTGAATAATTAATTTTTACACTTCTAATATAAACTCGTAAGGTTATAACTTTTCCTCTGGGTACTACTTTGGCTACATCCCACAAATTTTGATATAATATAGTCCCATCATTCAGTTTTAAATACTTCTTTTAAATTTCTACTGTAATTTATTTTACCCATAAATAATTTAGAATTATATTTCTTAATCATGCAGGTTTTTTCCTAATTATCCTTTGATGACTCACATCTAACGTGAGTGCTCTTGTGGACAGTGAAGATGGTCTTTATAAAACAAAGTTCTTTGAAATTCTTTTGGCTTAAATTTACCATTTGAAGAATTGTGACAGATTCATACACTAGTACAAACCAAAATCCTATGAAAGTAAGAAAAATACCATTACCCAAGAAAGTTCACTTATGCTCCTTTCCAGTTAGTTCCCACGCACATATCCAGAAGCAACTGCTGTCCTGATATTTTCCATCATAGATTAATTTCATCTCTTCTAGAACTTCGTGTAAATGGGATTATAGAATATGTGTCCTTTTGTGCAAGGCTTCTTTCACTCAGCGTAATGTGTTAAAAATTCATCCATTTTGTAACGTGTATGTGGATATATATTTGTAGTGTAACTCAACAGTTCTTATTGCTGAGTTATATTCCATTGTATGACTTTATTACAGTTTCTTTATTCATTCTCTTGATGAACTGTAGGGCTACTTCCAGGTTTTGGGGTATGAATAATGATGCTATAAACATTCTTGGATATGTCTTTTTATGAGCGAATATTTTCATTTCTTTTGGATAAACACCTAAAGTGGAATTGTTTGGACATAGTTTTATAAGAAGCTGCCAGGCCTTATCCAAAGAGGTTGTACTATTTTACACTTGCAACAATAATGCACAAGAGTTTCAGTTTTCCTACATCTTCACCAATGTTTGATGCTGTCATTCTGGGTATGTATTGGTGTTCTGTAGTGGTGCATAGTAGTTTTAATTTGTATTTCCCTAATGACTACTGATGTTGATGACTTTTTAATATGCTTATTGGCCATCTGGACTTCTTCTTTGTGAAGTTTCTGCTCAAATTTTCTGCCCATTTTTAATTGGGTTTTCATCTGTTTATTGTTGAGTTATCCAAGTTCTTGATAATATCCTAGGTATTAGTCCTTTGTCAAATAAATTCTTTGTGAATATTTTTCCTAGCCTTTGTGTTGCCTAGTCATATTGCTAAGAGTATCCTTTGATGGGTAAGAGGTTTTATTCTGATCAAGTTTAATTTATCAGTTTTTTTCTTGTGCACTTATTGCTTTCTGTGACCTAAGAAACTTTTGTCCACTGCCAGGTTAGAAATATATATTTAGTTATTTACCTATATTTTTTTCAGGAAGTTTTATACTTGTGGCTTTTTGTATTAGTTTTAAGATTTATCTTTAATTAGCTTTTACTCATGCTGTGAGGTACAGGTTCAAGTTCATTTCTTTCTTTATGAATATCAAGTTGTTCCATTACCACTTATTGAAACTACAATGGCATTTTCAATCGTGGGTGTCTTTGGCACCCACTATTGAAAGTTAAATGAACTTTATGTTAGTTTACTCTTGCTCCTATAACAAATTACTACAAACGTAGTGACTAAAATAACGCAAATTTATTATCTTACAGTTTTGTAGGTCAGAAGTCCAGTACAGGCATCACCAGAGGAAAACCAAAGTGTCCGCAGTGCTGAATTATTTTCTGAAGGCTCTAAGGAGAATCCATTTCCTGCTCATTTGGGTAATAAACAGAGTTCAGTTTTTTTCATCTGGAAGAGTGGAATCTCCATTTTTCTGCTGGCTATGAGGGCAATTCCCAATTTTAGAGGCTGCTGCATTCCTTGGTTCATGGCCCCCTTCCTCCATCTTTAAAGCCAGCAAGACAGTCAAGTCCTTCTCACAAAGCATCTGTGTGACTCAGCTGGGAAAGATTCCTCAGTTTCCCTTCTCTTTCTAACAATTTAATCCTAAAGCCATTATGTAGGGCTGAGCAAGGGAGGCATACATGCCAGTGAAATGTACATGTATTTACATTTAAGGATAGTGGAGCTAACGCTTCTGTCAGAGAAGGGAGTTACACATATGAAAAGAGACAAAACTGGAATGAACTCAGTGGTTTTAGATTAGAATTGGAGGTATTCATATGAACCCATACTTTCATTATATGTACAAGATATCAAAATAAGTATAGATGTAAATGTGTGTATGCAACATACGTTTGTGTTTATACGTATGTGTTTATATGTGTGTGTTTAGTTTTTTCCACTGAGGTCCTGGGAGAAGTCACACCTCTGTATTGATGAGCACACTAACACTCAGATTTTGTCCTCTAAATACCATTTCCTCCTATAATAAGAACCAGGGCTCTTTGAAGAAATGATTGATTCCAGTGTTGGGCATGGCAAATACAAGACGAGCCTGGAACATGTACATGAAAGTAGGCATGCTCAAAGAATGATGGGGCCCTGTTAAAGGCTGCAGATGCCAGATAGAAGGGGCACCCACTTGCCAAGTCTGGGACAAACTGACCATTAAAATAAATAATAGTAGTAGTAGATTACAAGCCTTTGAATGAAATAGGAAATCATAAATCCGTATTGGTATAAATTAATAAACTGAAAGTTTGGTGAAGAATGGGATATTTACGTAGCCTCCAACTACTTTCCCATAAAATTCTTATTAATTACAAAAGAAAGAAGAGTAGTTTTACAGTGGAGAGGCCTGGCAGGTACACCGAATTAATTGATCAAAAAGAATATTACCAGAAATGGGGCAGGTTTTTATCATGTGCCCCTGACAGGCCCTGAGAAGAATGCAGCATCCCCTCTGTGGCATTCCTTCCCAAATGCATAATCTGATCATGAAGAAACATCAGAGAAAACCAAATGGGAGGGACAGTCTTCAAAGACTGGCTTATCATTGTCAAAAGTCTCAAGGTTTTAAAAATGAGCGTAAGACCAAGAAACTTCAGATTAAAGGAGATTAAAGAGACATGACATCTAAAGGCGATGTGTGATTCTGAACTGGATCCTTAATACAAAAGACAATATTAGCACACTTTGTGAAACTTGAGTGGGATCTGATATAGATTGTGCTAATATCTTAATGTTAATTTCTTGAGTTTGGTAATTGTATGTGGTAATTGTATAGTACCCATGTCCTGTTTGTAGGAAATACACAGTAGTCAGGTGTCATGTGGCATCAGGTCAGCAATTTACTCTCAACTGGTTCAGGAAAAAAAAGTTCCTTGTATTATACTTGCAACTTTTCTGTAAGTTTGAGGATAGATGGTTGGATGGACAGATGGATAGAAAGAAAAACAAAAGTATGGAGTGATCTTTAAAAATACCTTGTGAATTATGCTTTTAATTTAAAAGTCTTTTTCAAAATCCACACTGAAGCTCCATAGGATTTTGTCAGTCATGCTTGCACATATTGGTGCCTCCAAACAGTGTGGTTATTCTTGGCTTTTTGATAGATTTAAAAAATTTTCCCCTACAAGGTAATTGATCTTTTCTACCGGGAAATTTCTGGCCAAACTTGTATAGAGCTCCTGGGCAAGACTTTTTTCATGGTTCATTTTTTTGTCCATCCCCCAGGTTGGCCACCTCAGGATTGTACTGTCTCCCAGGAAGAAGAAGAAATGACCAAGTCCCATGTGAGTTTTAAATGATATGCTTATTTTACTCTCTTATTCTGCAACGGAGATGAAGTAGCTCATAATAATCTTGATAGGAAGATGGAAAACTCTTAAGTAGACAAAAGTCAGTCAGGAAAAATGTTTTAAAAAATTAAGACTAGGAGAAAATTGCAATTAGAACATGCAGAAATATGAGTATGGTCGTTTACAATTGGGCTTGAAATTTGAATCTGACCTTCACAGGAAAAGCAAATTAGGACATAATTAAAATTAACAAAACTCATTACATAGTTTACTCTGTCTTTCATAAAAGAACCCATTGGTTTCTAAGAGGAAAATAAGAGATTTTCATGGGCACAGAGTGAAATGCTTTGGCAAAGTTTTGAAGTTGTGGTCCATAGCTCTTTCCATACCTTCTTTACTCTGGTCTCCAAAAATGAGGTGTTCCTCTTCTTAAGAATAATGTCCTCTCTGTTCTTTTTTTCCTTTTTGTCTTTTTTGGGACCGGTAACGGGATCGCAACCCTTGGTGTTGCGCCCATACCGCAACCGGCAACGGGATCGGAACCCTCAGTCTCGTGCCCGCACCGCGCTCAAACAGTGAGCGGACCGGTCTCTATATGGGATCCGAACCCTTGGCGGGAGCGCCACCACGCTCCCAAGCGCCGCACTCTACCGAGTGCGCCGCTCGGCCGGCCTGTCTTCTCTGTTCTTAATCCCATCTTTCCTATGGCTTCTAGAACCTTTCCCCATCAGTTAATATTTATACTGAAACGTTAAATAGTTCTTTCTTTGCTGCCTCATTCCCCTCTTTTTACTTCCCTCATTCTTCACATCCTGCGGAGAAAACAAATAACAAACTATTCTTTTGTCTGTGTGTCTAAGGTAGTTACTTGTGATAATATAGACGTTAAAAGCACAGACGTTGGAGGTAAAAACATGTAGATTTCAATCCTGGCTCCACCACTTTCTGTGTGATCATGAGCAAGTGACAGTTACTTAAACTGTCAGTGCCTCAGTTTTATCACCTACAAATAAGGCTAAATCTTTAGTTGGTCGTTTTTGGAAAATTGAGTTGTATGTAAGTTGCTCAGAGTAGTGATTGGTACCATAAAGTGTTTAATTAATGTTTGCCTCATGTCTCAGAAACAGTACTTATGATTCAGGTCTTGGTGATTTCTTTCTGTTTCATCCTATTTGCATTATTTGTGTAAGAAAGTGCTCAAAGTGTAGAATATGTGGATGGCTCCATTTCTTATTACATTACAAATAAGATGTTTTTTCTTATTTCCACTTTCTTTTGGAAATTATGCTTTTGGGGTTTTTTTTGTTGTTTTGTCTTATGAGAGAAGTTAAAAGCTGGTCTTCATGACTCTTGTTTTTAAGACATCTGGAATATCTCCGTGCCTTCATTGTATTGTTTTCTCTTAATGCTAATAAAAAGAATCTGACAATTTAAAAACAATTTCCATTAATGAATTATTTTTCTTTCCCTGTTTCTTAAGTGGTGCTTGTCCCTAGAATTCTGTTGGTGTTCTCCCTTCTCCCCTTTCGCATAGCCTCAGTGAATTGTCACATCCCACTTCGATGGCTTCAGCTACTGTTATAGATTGATGATTATCAAATTATACATTTTTAATCCAATCCCTAATTGAACTCCTGATTAACATGTTTAATGTTCTGATGGATATCTTTAACTGGTTGTTTTATAGAAAACTTGAATTTTACATGTACAAAACTTCACTCTTATCTCCCTTCTGCCACCCTCTGCCTCCAACATCCTTTGCCATATATACTGTCCCAATTAATGACATAACCATCTCTTCTACAATTCCATCTGTGTCATTTCCCAGTATAAGATCTCCTTCACATACAGTAGTTGATAAACCTTTAAGTTACCTGAAACAATGAATAAACCTGTAGTTAGAGAAAATATTCTATGTGATTTATTCTATCCGAGAATACAAAATAAAGCTAGATAAATATTGGGCACCTATATAGCTTTTTATGAATCCTGACTCCTGAACGCTTTCAGAACATGTCACTGAGTGTTTTCAAGTTGATTATCATGCAGACTTCTTTGCCTTTTATTTAGGTGTTTGTTGTTCCACACTCCTTGTGAATTCTCCTCTCTCTAAACCTTTGCTCTTGTCTTTTCTGGGGATTGGCCCCCTTACCCCCTATTCTGTATTACACCTCATATTTTCCAAGTTAAATTTCTCAACTCTTCGGAATGTAAACTTCTTGCTTCACGTAGAATGTTCTTTTTCTTCTTTTGGGCCCTCAGTGTGTCCAACATAGAGACGTACTTTTCAATAGTTTTATGCGTCTTATTTTTTTCAAACTTTGATCTTATTTTCCAAGTCTTTTAAGTTGCTAGAGATTAGAAACATAAATAACTCATTTCTGTGTACCCCCGATTAGCATAATGACTAGACCTAAATAGCACACAAACTATATCGCAGATCATTCATCCAAGTTGCTGGAAGACTGAAAGAGTGTCTGTAGTACAGAACAAATAGCAGAAATTCTTCATTCAATTTCTTTTTTCTGCAAAATATGTAAAACTAGATATTTAATATGTACCCTATATTAAATATCATTTTTTAAAAGTTCCTGGATTACACAGATGTATACATTTGTCAAAAGTATAAAGATTGGTGCATTTAACTGATTGCAAATTTTAACTGAAAAAGGTAAACAAATATACTCTAGTTAATGATTTGCATTGTGAACTACATTAGGGGTAAGTGTAACAACATTTGCAATTTACTTTGAAATGCACGAAAAGATAAGATGGATCGATGGATGGATAAAAGGATGTGTAGATGTGTGATAAAACAAGTAGAGTAAAAGGTGAATAATAGATTCTAGGTGGTGGGTATACAGGTTTTCACTGCAATTCTTTTAAATTTTCTCTGTGTTTGAAAAATTTCATAGTTAAGTGTTAGGGAAATGGGGATGGCTTTTTATTTTTATATTTTAAAATAAATTTATTGTGTATCTTTAGAGTATATAACATGATGTTATAAGATGTTATAACATATATGTTATAATATATATATTATATATATAGTTATGATATATGTTATAATATATATATATAGTGAAATGGTTATTATAGTAGAACAGGTTAACATAATATACATCATCTCACTTAGTGACCCATCTGCTTAGTGTTATCAGCACCACTCTCTAACTAACTAAATTCCTTTAGCAAAACATCTGAATACAATACACTATTATTAACTATAGTTCTCATGTTGTGCATTAGAGCTTTCAATTTGTTCATCCTATATATTTGCTACTTTGTGTCTTTTACCTAAATCTTCCAATTTCGTCTCCCCAAACCCCACCTTGGTAACCACTGTTTTATTCTCTGTATATATATATTTGGTCTTCTGTTTGTTTGTTTGTTTGCTTCAGATTCCACATATAAGTGAGATCATGGAATATTTTACTTCCTGTGTCTGCCTTATTTCAATTAGCATAATGTCCTCTAGGTTCATCCATGTTATGGCATAAGGCAGGATCTTCCACTTTTTCCAGGCTGAATAATATTCCATTGTATACATATACCACAGTTTCTTCATCCATCTGTCTGTTGACGGACACCTAGGTTGTTTCCCTCTTGGCTATTGAGAATAGTACTGCCGTGAACATGGGAGTGCCGATATCTTTATGTGGTGGAGATTTCATTTTCTTTGGGTACATACCAAGAAGGAGGATTTCTGGGTCCTATAGTAGTTCTAGTTCTAATTTCTTTTGGAATCTCCATTTTGTTTTCCATAATGGATTCACCAATCTACATTCCCATCAACCGTGTGCAAGAGCTCCCTTTTCTCCACATCCTCATCAACACTTGTTATCTCTTGTCTTTTTGATAATAGCTTTTCTAACACATATGAGGTGGTATCTCACAGTGGTTTTGATTTGCATTTACCTGATGATTAGTGATATTGAGCACCATTTCATGTACCTGTTGGCCATTTTTATGTCATCTTTAGAGAAAAGTCTATTCGAGTCCTTTGCCCATCTGGTTATATTTCCTTGCTATTGAGTTACATAAGTTACTTATCAATTTTGGATATTAACCCCTTATCTGATATATGGTTTGGACGTATTTTTTCTCAGTCTGTATGTTGCCTTTTCATTTTGTTTATTATTTTTTTTGCTGTGCAGAAGCTTTTTACTTTGATGTAGGCCCATTTACTTATTTTTGCTTTAGTAGCCTCAACTTTTGGTGTGATATCCAAGAAATCACTGCCAAGGCCAATGTCAAGGAGTTTTTCCCCTACGTTTTCTTCTAGGAGTTTATGGTTTTAGGTCTTATGTTTAGATTTTTATTCATTTTGAGTTTATTTTTG